GGGGGGGGTTAGTCAATATCCTGCTATTCTACTAAATGTATTGTAGAGAGTCCCAGGTACTGTTAAACTTATGTTATTTCCTCCGTTTTCATCCAAAGACAATTAACGATAAGAAGTCTTTTTTTAGGGAGCTGCGAGACAGTTTTGTAGAAAAATATTAACAATCATTGTGACAGAAACATAGTGAATAAGCTTTGTGCTCTATAATCAAGGTATATTTTTTGTATTTCTTGTTGTATGTTTGTTAATTAGCTAATACATGATATATGTAATCATTGGTTCTATTCAAGGAATTGTCACATGTGTAACGAGGATGACCAGAAGTGGATGGAGTTCCTAATGAAAGCCAATCAACACAACTGGGAAAACATTAAACAGAGCACAGATAATGTCCCTGTCACCCGAGTAGAGTGCCAAACGTAACAGTTATCCAACAATTACTGTCAGATAGTGGAGTTGTTTCAATGCCAGCAGCTCAACATCTTAAGGACACCAGTATTTTTGAGTTGTTAACTGTTTGACCTCACAGTAAAAGCTTTTCTCTCATTTCCCTGTGTGTAAGATAGAGCTGACCAGGGTAAGAAAGGGGTGTAGAAAATTTCTATCTTACACCCCATATCACGTGACGTGACGTCACAATGGCTCATCAATGACGTGACGTCACAAATTTGCAAACAATGGGGATATGCTTAATCTGGCTGGCTAATTCGTTTTCGTCTAAAAAGCTCAGGGGAAAAACAAAATAATTCAATATGGTGGCCAGTTCAAACGCATTTTCATGGTTTCTGGGCTTATTCTGGTGGTTAGTAGAGAGAAAAATACTCTTTCATGCCCAAGAGGTGTAGGATAGGGAAATTCCATCCTCGGCAAAGCCTTGTGTTTTACCATAATTGAAAACCCCTGGGGTGGAATGACCCTATCCTACACCCCTTGGCATGAAAGAGTCTTATAATATTATGAACTAAATGACAAACGTTTTTCCTACATCCTCTTTGGATCATTATCACATGGAGATCAGTGATATGTGATATTGACTTGGTGTTACAATTTTTAGAAACAACCGGTCCATATTCGCTTTATCAAATTAGGATGTCATTTCAAGTGAAACACCACAATGCTCTCTGCCAAAAGCAGTATATCCCACCAGACTATTTTCGTATCTACCTTCTTGTTGAATGATTTAAACATTATTTAACATCTAATATATACGATAGAACTTTTAATTTTGTAAATATGTGGATATATGAACATGAGAAAGTTGTATTAACTGAGAAAACGTCTTTGTCAGTGTCACTTTTGTCTTGGTTAATATCATTTTCTTAGGTCTATAGAACCATATATTCACCTAGACCTCAACAGAAGTCCATAATTAAAACATTTGTAAGATATATGTGCCCTTTATATGCTGTCATCATCAAACACTGCCTTATTAAGGAGTACTACATTCTATCCTCTAAGAGTTGACGAATGTACTGTGTCAAGCGGAACAATAAATACTATTATATATATGTATTTATTTCAAATTGTTCTGTTATTATAAACTGTTAGAAACTCTTTTGTGTTATTTTTCCAATTTCATCAATAAAATCAGTACATTGCTCTGAACAATGTTCTA